CAAATAACGTCTTTCGTTCGGGTAGACACAACCCACCGTGTTGAAACTACATCTTTAACGTCGACATTCTCTGACCGCGGAGAAAGTGTCTGAAATTTGATGAATATGAATTGACATGTCAAAAATAAGTGTAGAAGTTTAGCTAAAAATATCATTATTTTATTCTTGCTCAAAATCAACATGTGTTCAAATAAAAAAAAAGTAAAAATAGGTGCAAAGCTTATCAGCCAATTCTTTTTTTTTTGTCTTTTATTAACATGTAGCCTTCCCTATTTCAAAAATGAAAAAAAACCCGCCTTTCGTCTTGTCGTTGGGCAATTATCATTGTTTTCTGAGGAAATAATGAGAACCATACCCGATAAAAATAGCTCTTTTAAACTAAACTTTTAAATTAATATTTTGTGTTATAAAAAAGTTTGATATTTTCAAAAAATGAGCCATATTTACCTGTAAAGAAACGTCATTTTGATCCCGGCTTCCGCCTCGCGCAGTCTCTTTCCGGTTGGGGAGAATCGTCTGCGTCCTCTTGCCAAACGCTTGCCTGAGAACAAAGCCTCCTCTTGGGGCGTCGAACGACAGGGAAAACGGCCCATAACGTTTGCGACTGACCTTGAAAATTCAAATTTCATGTTTAGTTTTTGGTATTGTATACAATATTAACATTTAAACAGAAAATGAAAAAATTGTGGGTGTAATTTGTTATAAAGTTTTTTTTAAATATAAAATTAGAAAATTAAAAAAAATGAGAAGACTCTCGGAGCGTTTCACCGGGTTGCCCTTATATGTTAACCCCTTTTGTTCTGTTAATTTCTTTGGTTCATTCCCATAGTAAATTTTTGTGTGTTACAGGAAATAGTTTTCAATTATTAAAATTACTGTGTAAAAAGTAGGCATAAATTATACGTAAATATTAAAATCCCTTGCAACAATAATTAATAAAATGTTTACCTCTTGTGAAGGGACAATGTCCTGCATCTTTCACTTTCCTGTCCGTCGTCGGCCGTTTCTTCTACCGGGAAACCAGTTTATCACCCTTAAAAACGGGAGGTTTGTCATCAGAGCGTCGATTTCTGGCTCGCTCGGCATTCTTTCCAGGAGAAAAATTCTCAACATCTTTGGTATCTTACAAAAATAGATGGTGTTGATTTTTTTTTAAATTTAACAATAGAAACATTGATTTTTTTTCCCTTAATTTCTATTCATATAATTAACCCAAAAAATATTATTTGTTGAAAAATTTGTTCAGATCACAATTTTGGAAAAATTTGATTTTTTTATTGTTTAAAAAGGCCCATGATCCCTTTTAGAAATGTATCAATTTTTTCTCTAATACATTTTCCCAAAAAAAAAGATACTCATTCTTCATTTTGGACCTTTCTTTTACTGCTTATTTTTATTTTGGGCAATGGTTTGTAAGTATTTTGTTATGGAAGTGTTTACATTTAGCTACCTTTAATGAACACATTTGCCCACATCCAGTGCCAACTTTCTAAAGTTGCTAAACATCTTAAACCTATACTTCTGAATCCATTAAAATTAACACGTTTGACTATTTGTAAATAATAAATAAAATGTTTTGAACTTCTGAGACATTTTGTGCCTTTTAAGAAAACAAATAAATGCCTTTTATTGATTAGGAAAGACAATAAAGTCCTTTAGAAACTTCAAACATTTCACATTTTAAGTTAAGTTGTTCATTTTTTTGTTTTAATTTTTTTTTTTTCCTTTTTTTTATTTTTCCTTAATTGGACTTTGCAAAACCGACAGAATGCTAATAAATCTTTTACTAATAAATAAAAAAGAATATTATTATACATTTTAAAAATGCCCTTTAATATTAAATAAAGAAGACTCACAATTTGGGGCTCGCGTTTTCCGTTGTATGGTCCAGCAACAGCGGTTTCCTTCTAAAATGATTTAAAAAATATATAATTAAAAATTAGGTTTTGAGGAAATAAAGGCATAATTGGGCACGCTGATTGGATGTTTAAAATACCTTATACTATCACCCCCACTGTTCAGGACACCATATTGATCATCTGCCATTTTTCCAATTACAGCTTGATCTCTCGATTAATTGACAAATAAACAGTAATGATTATATCATCAGTAATCAAAGTGATACCGACGTCAATTAAACATATCTGTGCCCTCTTTTACTGACCATAATAAGCAATTTTTCGCATTATTCCAAAAAGAAAAGGAACAGGCTTGAAAAAAAGGAACTGTATTTCAATAATAAATAAAATAATACATAATTTTAGAAAAAAATATATTTAGGAAATTAATTTTCAAAAATAATGGAGTAAATGAAACAAAAAAAATCTCACATGAAAAGTCTTTTGAAATGTTTTAACTATATTTTTTTTTCTTTTATTCTGATCAATCCACTTTGATGAATGTTCGTGTTAAGTATACTGTCTCTTAAACTTACATTTATAATAACTTGATTGTGTTTTTATTCCTTTATATGATTTTAGATAAAAATGTCTGGGTGATGGGACAATTTTAGTGGGTTCCCTCTAAAGTTGATGCATCAAATACTGATAATGGAATTACACTGTATTTCTAACCATTAAATACACACAAAATGAAAATTGTTACAAAGGAAATAAAGCACGAGAGAAGCACGAGGAAGTTGAGTAAATCTGCTCAGACTTTACTCTAAATTGTCAAGAAGCTTGGATGGCTTTAACAACGTCGATAGAAAATATTAAATCTTTTTATCACACAAGTGTGTCAGTATTAAAACAATATGCATTGGTGCATATGGAAACAGAACACAAGATTATGATGTTTACTATGGTAGTGAAAAATTAGAAGTTGTGAGAAATTTTACATACTTAGGTGTAACGCTTTCTTCAAATAAACACACAAATCAATTGCCTATTAAGCTTTAAAAGCTTTGATTTCTTTCAATGAATTATTTGATAAAGATTTTTTTGGAAACCAGATAAATTAAAATAGTTGATGCCATGATATTACCTGTATTTAATTTAGCTTGAAGCTATTTTAGCATTTTACTTTTATTTTACACACAGACGCTAGACACTTCAAATACACTGACACTTGCCATGTATAAACTCTAACTTACAAATTGCATATTGCAAAAAACATAACTTTTCTCACTTTAGAATCATTTCCTTTTAAAGTGAAGAAAAACAGTAACTGTTATTTTTTACATCTGTTCATCATGTTTTTTCTCGGCCCTATTTTAATCCACAATTGTTCATCACAAATATGCAGCTGTTTAAATGAATTTAAAAACAATAGATTTAAAAGAAAAATATGTTACTTACTTCATGTCTAAAATATAATCCAAGGTGATAAAAAAGCAGTTAAGAAACAAATATTAAAAGTATTGAACAGTTTACTATCTAATCTCTAAATTGAAAATGTCAAAAATTTTAAAAGTTTTGAACTTTATTTATCCGAGTGGCACGTAAGAAAAAAAAGTGCTCAATTATCAGTTTGTTCCTTTTAAACTTTTTTGTTTGTAAAAGAATAAAAGAAATAATCAACAAAAGATAGGTGACCAAAAGAGACCTTCTAAGAGAAAATATAGCGGTCTAGTCCTTAGATTTACATCATCAAACATAAATACACGTGTAATAATTAATTGATGGTTTTGTAAATGAATTAATTGACAATGTCTGATTGTTAATTACTTAAAACTCGTGAAAAACGGGAACTAAGCAGGTAGAGATGTCTGAATCGAATAGTTGAAAACGCGCGAAATCAATTTTGACATTTTAGGATTAACTACATAAAGAAAATAGTTTTTATAAGAGATCTCTTTAAACATAAACATATATTTTTTGTTGCAACAAAATATGAAATGTCCAGTTACAAGTGTAGAAATACAAAATGATAGAGAATAATATGTTATGCGTATATGTGTTGTAATATTTTTTATATTATATACGGGTGTTACAATGATTATTATCTCATGATGTCATGTTTAACATGAAATGAGTGAAATAAAAGAATTGAAAGATTCAAATTGTCGTGATGCTTTTATCGGTCTCCTAATGTTTCGCTATGTATACGGTATCCGAACATTTCCCCCCACCCTCCGGACAGTTGCCGCCCGGACGTTTGAAGTGGCGGACATTTGTTCCTTCATATCTTTGGAAGGGATGGGCTTTTCCCCCATTAAATTTGTGAAAGGCGAACATTTATTTCGCTCACAGAAATTACTTACTAATTAGTTACTAATAACGTTAAAACTGTAACTTGTAATTTTCAGGTTATGTGCTACATATATGTCTATTACTCATTAGTTAATTCTTACCCAAACCCTTATCCCATTCAAAAAGCTTATAAAAGTGAAATCTTATAAACCCTCATTTTTTCCCACAGTGGGGGCAGTCAGATAGCGAAAATTATGCCAGCCACACCACCGTTCTCCCGGACTGTAATATTTCTCTGGCGTTCTATATCCAAACAAAATCACTGGTGGAAGGACAGAAGAAAGGGAAAAAAATGTTTGCTAAACTTCCTCGTTCGGGAGATGGGGAATGACAGGGTTGATTTATATTATGTCTGCAGTCACCTTGTCACACTGACACTTCTGTAATAATGTAATATACGTTTTATTAAAGTCCTCATCGTTAACCTGAAGGCTTATAGCAATTTCTATTTTAGTTCTTTAACGTTCACCAGTATTCTCTCTCATTTTATTGTATTAACATTTATCAGTTATTAATATAACGTATATTTTTTACTCACTTTTTTGTGCAGTGTTTACTGTGAGCAATTATTGGACCATTCTTATGTTCACCAACAATTTTACTTTGGCATCAAAATGAGGGTGATTCAAAGATATTTTATACCAAGTGTAGGAAAAGAAAAAAAAGAAAACATTTAATGGAATACTTAATATTTATTCAAAAAATAATGAAATAAGAGGAATAGTGAAGATGAGATAGGAAAGAAAAGAAGAAATATCTTTAACATAACATTATCCGCACTAGAGTACAACAACAATACATCAACAGTCTTGTTTATCAACATTGTTTTTATTACACTCAGTCAGACTTTAATCACACAAAACACAAATATTGCACAGTTTTATCACAGATTTTCCTTGAACATTGTTTATTCACCGGAAGTAGGGTCATATAGCACTAAAAGCGAAGTGTGGTACGCATGAGTTGTGGTCTCTCACCGGCTGTCCATGATTTCGACTTTCCCCGGAAGTGACGTAAATCAGCAGAATGGTCCTTGTGCAACATAGGCTTGTATGTGTGCGGGAAACACTGTGTCTGTAAATAAAAATAAATGTTTAACTCATGTTTTTATATTATATTTCAACAAGTTTCAGTAAGGAATATACATATAGTTTCTTAAATATATGAATAAAGATTTTCTTAATTCTTAATTAGTGTAACAAATTGTAATCAAATTTATCTAAAAAAAATCTTATTACTCGAATTAAGTAAAAATTAAATGTCACTTCTGAGTGTTTGTTCTTTGCTTATTTGAAATCTCATCTATTTAATGAAATATTTTAAATGATTTCTACACAATTTTTCTACTGGTGCCACATGACGAATTTCGTACCGGGCCAAAAAACCTTTCTTTGTAGAGGCCGAATATAGGCTACTTCCCCAACCAAACTTGCCTCCTTTTCCCCCAGTTTGGTCCTCAATATTCCCCAGTCTTTTGAAATTTCCCATAGAATTTAGAACAAAATTAAAAATAAAGGTGTTGAATTATGGTCTTTTACTGCCTTATAAGTATTTCCCAGTGCTTTTTGCTTTTCTATTTTGAAGAACTAGTTTGTGTTAAATTTGAGACCCCTTTTCCCAAAGTATGCCAAAATCACGCATATTTTCCCCAAGAAAAAGGCTAAGGCCCATTGGCATTCCCCAAAAGTGGTGTTTTGGCCCTGCCAAAAATATGGCCGTTATCCACACTCGGTGCCTTAAAAGAGGTTTAGTAGGCCTACTATGCCGAAGAATGTTCCTCTCTTAGGTTTCATTGTGTTTTCATGTTCTAAATGCGTAAATATTTATAATAAGCATTAACTTACAATGAACTTGTAGAAGAACGCCTTGTAACCTCCCTCAAGAACGTAAACTTCCGGAAAGTTGAGACGTGGGTAGTGGTCTTTATTCATGGCGCGGTCCTCACTGCGTAAATGACGGTACCTGAAAAATGTAAAAGTAATGTCTGAATATGTTGAGGAACTGATTTTGAAAATAAAAACAACAAATAGTAAGTATTAAAATTTTACATAGCTGAATATTACTAAGTAAAAGGTATTGATAAAAGACCCTTTTTTATATTATACTTTTGACACATTTTCATCAGGTCGATGCTTTATTAGCTCGTATATTTTATATAACAGAGAGACTTTAAAATCGTCACTGTCAGCCTTTATAATATTAGAATCTTCGTCTCAGTAAGTCGCAAATGTGTTGCGCATTAATTTGACGATTTCGTAATATCTAGCTTAAATATCTTACATTTGCTTTAATAGTTAATAAAATAACAATAATTGATGTCTTTTATCTTTGCATGTTTTAAGTTAATTATTTTTGTTAGAAAACACTTACATTTTTGGGCCTCTTTCCGATGAGAACTCACAATGGAAGACGAGCACGTGCTTCTTAGAGGAAGTGAAAGAGTCACTATGACATAAGAGAAACTCTTGTATGGCAGCTTGTGTATACAAGTTAATAGCATCCTGAAAACAAATAGGTTAAAATAATGCGAGATTGTTTGGCAATTTGAAACGTTTTGAAAGTAAAAATAGTATAATTAGATGCTAATATTTATCAACAACTTGGCAACAGAAACGATGACATCTTCCTTAGATAAATAAAGATTGCAATAAAAATATTGTCTTCAAATTAGACAAAAAATAAAGATGTATTCCCAGTATGTGCGTCAATGAAACCGGGTAGGAATGTTCATGCACCAGTCAAATGCTTGTTTACATTTATCAATGAATTTGTCTTCTGCTACCAAAATGTATTATTCTAAAAGTTATATTAATTACCATAATGTGACCGCCTTCAAACTCATACGGGTATCTGCAGTCGATGAAAAGTCACGTGATCTATTTCATCGTCATAGCAACCACAAAGTACGTCATTCATCTAAAAAAGTTAAAAGTTTCATTAGTACACCAAAATAAATTAAGTTTGAATGATAGCGCTACACAAGAAAAGAATTAACTTTGAAACTAGAGTAATTGAATGAATTTAATCAATCGGACTTATGTACATGTATGTCAAAATTATAACTTAAATTTTCTGTTTAGTCCTAAAACTTTTGGTCGTCTGCTGTCGTTCGACATAAAGACTGTCTTTCAACACCAAGAGAAGTTTGTTTTCAGGCAAGCGTTTATGTTAAGAAGAAAAGCTGCCACTGTACGATAAATAACATCATAGAAGATCATACGAATCTCGGACACGTCTGAGATTTTATCATTTTACAATAATAATTACTTATACTTTTAATTCTAAAAAAATGTCAACTTGAATTTTATAATTTTCACTCACCGTTTCTGGGGAGATGGACTTCAAGCCACTGTGTTTACCGGCGATGGTCGGCAGGATATAGGGACTTGAACCGTCGGCAATTACGTCTTCGTCGGTAGACAGTCGGTGAACTACATCTTTAACGTCGACATTCTCTGACCGCGGAGAAAGCGCCTGAAAGTTTGAATAAATTTGATAACATTTTACATTTTTGTAGATTAATACGTACAAATGAGATCAATACAAAAGACATTAAATTTTCTATGATTCAGAATATTTTATTGGAATTAGATATAGATAAATTATTAAATTTAATGCAACATCAAACAATTCATAGAAAAACCTATTTTTTTCTTTCTTTTGTTTCATACGGGGAAGTCAAAGACCGGGCCCGCGAAGCGGGTCCGGGCTTTGGCTTGCCCGGCTATAGACTACACGTGAATATTTAAAAGAAAATCAAATAAAAAACAATTAAAAATATATAGATTTCTATACCTATCAATGAAATTTTCAGTGTCAGTTCTAGTCGGGCGCCGCCATTTACAATGTATGTCAATGATAATAGGCGGGGTATTCCGATAACGGAACAAATCTCAACTTTTCGGATTAGTAATAATCGTCGAGTGTTCCGAGTGAAAACGGAAGCGGTGTATGTAATATCGAATGACACCTTTAAGACGGAAAGAATGAAAGGATTTTTAACGACTTCCCCGTTCATAGGCTTTGCCTAATTTCATATTAGTTTGTTGAGACAAACAATTATGCCGGCAGAAAAAAAAATAGAACAACAGACATATTAAGGCCATATTTATTTTTATGGCTTTAACAGAACTAACTTGATGAATTTAATTATCATTCATTTTATTAATTTCTAAGTTGTTATTATACTAAAAAGAAAACATAAAAATATTATTCACCTCTAATGAAACGCTTTTAATCCCTGTTTCCGCCTCGCACAGCCTCTTTCCGGTTGGGGAATCGTCTGCTTCCTCTGCCAAACGCTTGCCTGCAAACAAGCTTCTCTTGACGTCGAACGAGAGAAAACGGCCAAATGGTTTGCGACAAACCTGAAAAATAGTAACACAATTTTAATATAATATTGATATTAAATTGAAACGAAACACATATGTGGAACACCTTCTTCGTTCAGAAAAGGGAAACCTGTATTTAATAATTGTTTAAAAGCAAAATGATTATCACATGTAGAGTACATTTGAATGTTATAAATGTATCAGAACGTATTTTGACGTCCACACAAAAAATTATTGGGCAAATTGGCCCAAAAGCAAACCATGGTTCAACTATATGGCCAATGAGTTCTGTTTTGTACACTGCATTAAAACTACAGATAGAAAGAAAACAAGAACAAAGTTTGAAATTTTTTAAAAGTAGCAATTTAACGACCTTCAGGCCTTAATTTTGTCAGTCTGATATCTGATTTGTTTTTCAGAATATTTATTGAAGAAAAAAGATACTTCCGTGCTGCTCCACAAATCTATCTAAATGTATAATTTTGTAATCTTTTTCCAACGGTCGATCATCTTTCAAAGTAATGTCTTGTTTTAGATAGTAGAAATATATTTAATTATAGTATCCATTGCAATGTAATAGTATAGAAATAAATATTTGTAAATATATAATATTCCTTGCAACAATTATAAAATGTTTACCTCTGTGAACGACATGTCCTGATCTTCACTTCCTGTCGTCGTCGGCGTCTCTACCGGGAACCAGTTATCACCCTTAAACGGAGGTGTCATCAGAGCGTCGATTTCGTCGACGTCGGCATCTTTTCCGGGTGTAAATCTTAACATCCTTGGTATCTGAAATAATGCATAAATATTCTATAAAAAATCATATTAAGTTATTTTCATGCATTACATATCTAGATTTGTCATAGAAATGTAAAAATTGATTTATTTAACCCGATAAAGAACGATACATTCACGCTAGAAACAATAAACTGGAAATGTTCTACTATTTTTTTTAAAAATCATAACATCTTTTCAAGTTTATGTTATGCAATGAATAATATAAGAAGAATCTTTCAGCAAACTCATAATTTATTTGATAGCAGAATGAAATCAACAAATGTCAAGTACAGAAACACGAATTGAAATACAACAGATAAGTAAAAGAGTTAAAAAAAACTTACTTTTAGTTCGGGTTGACTTCTATGTTCAGGTCTGCTGTTCCTTCTGAAATAATATCAGTTATTAGTTATTCCGTTCCGTTCTGTTCAATAATTCGGAAATAAGCATATCGCACGCTGATTGGATTATTTAAGAATTACCCATAAATCACCGCCCACTGTTTCAGGACACCATATTGATCATCTGCCATTTTCCAATTAACAGCTTGATCTCTCGATTATTTGACAATTAACAGTAATGATTATATAATCAATTATCACAGAGATACCGGCGAAAAATATATGTCTAAAGCTACTTTCTTAAAAATTACAATTTAAAATTGAAAAAGAAAGAGTGAAGAGAAGTAATTTTTAGAGTTTTATCATTTTAAATCCAATTAAAAGCGTAATAGAACTTTAGAAATGTTAGAAAATAAAAATCGTTTACAAAGTTAAAGCTTTAAATGATTATTCAATATTATTTAAACATTAAGTTAAACTTACGTGAAATGCAAAACCTTATCTTCGCAGTACTACTAAATGGCTATAAATATTGTTAGTATTTAATGCCAATAAAATATTCTGTTCTGTTCTGTATAGATTTTAGCGTAACATAAGAAGTTTACAAACAAATACCTTTGATAACTCGGATGTGTTTTTATTTTTTCTAAAAATGATTCTTGGATAAAAATGTCTGGGTGATGGGACAATTTTAGTGGGTTCCCTCTAAATTTGATGCATTTAATACTGATAATGGAATTACAATGTATTTCTAACCATTAAATACACACTAAATGTTCATTGTTACAAAGGAAATAAAGCACGTGAGAAGCACGAGGAAGTTGAGTAAATCTGCTCAGACTTTACTCTAAATTGTCAAGAAGCTTGGATGGCTTTAACGACGTTGATAGACAACTTTAAATCTTTTTATCATTCAAGTGTGTCAGTATATAAAAACAATAAGCATTGTATGAAACATTTTAAACATAAATCCGCGACTTGAAATATTTGTCCCAGCATAAATAGAGAAAAATGAATTCATCGAAAGTATACAATATTATCTTGAATCATAATCATAATGACGATGCTGATGATGATGACGATGATTACGACGACGACGACGACGACGACGACGGCGGTGATGATGATGATGATGATGATGGTGATGGTGATGGTGATGGTGATGGTGATGGTGATGGTGATGATGGTGATGGTGATGGTGATGGTGATGGTGATGGTGATGATGGTGATGGTGATGATGGTGATGATGGTGATGATGGTGATGGTGATGGTGATGGTGATGATGATGAGTACGCTGATATATCAGGATAGTATATACTGACAAGCTGATGGCGATTTAATTTATCAATTATACCAAAGTATTTTGAAAAGTGGACTTCTAATGCCGTGTCGGTGGCTTATCACCTAAATCTACATACAAATTTAAAGACATTTCCTGACACTTGTCATTTCACATATATAATACCCAAGACAGTATTGCATATTGCCATACCATTCTCACCTTAAAATCAATTTCCTGTGTGAACTGTATAGTATGAGAGGACGAATGTTCGCGGGACAAACGTCCGAGACGGCATGTGACCGGGGCGCAAATGTCCAGATACCGTATAGTACATATCAGATATCATGAAAAATGTCAGCACATGCACTTACTTCATTATAAAGACATAATCCACAGTTTTAAGTACGGCAGTTGAGAAATATGGAAACAACTTTGCAAAAGTCTTGCAACTGTTCAAATACATAAACTTTACGATCTAAGATCTAACACTAAAATGTAACCAAAAGAGACCTTCTAAGAGAAAATATAGCGGTCTATTCCTTAGATTTACATCATCAAACATTCCTTGTGCTTATTTTAATGTTGATATAAATAAACAATGAATGAATGAATGAATGAATGAATGAATGAATGAATGAATGAATGAATGAATGAATGAATGAATGAATGAATGAATGAATGAATGAATGAATGAATGAATGAATGAATGAATGAATGAATGAATGAATGAATGAATGAATGAATGAATGAATGAATGAATGAATGAATGAATGAATGAATGAATGAATGAATGAATGAATGAATGAATGAATGAATGAATGAATGAATGAATGAATGAATGAATGAATGAATGAATGAATGAATGAATGAATGAATGAATGAATGAATGAATGAATGAATGAATGAATGAATGAATGAATGAATGAATGAATGAATGAATGAATGAATGAATGAATGAATGAATGAATGAATGAATGAATGAATGAATGAATCCATTTTAAAAAAAAAAACATGACATGTCGAACGATACCCGCGGGTATTTTTATAAGACATCTCTACCTGCTTAGTTTCCGTTTTTCACGACTTTTAAGTAATTAACAATCAGACATTGTCAATTAATTCATTTTCAAAACCATCAATTAATTATTACACGTGTATTTATGTTTGATGATGTAAATCTAAGGACTAGACCGCTATATTTTCTCTTAGAAGGTCTCTTTTGGTCACCTATCTTTTGTTGATTATTTCCTTTATTCTTTTACAAACAAAAAAGTTTAAAAGGAACAAACTGATAATTGAGCACTTTTCTTACGTGCCACTCTGAAAAATAAAGTTTAGATTTTTACAAATTTTGACATTTTCAATTAAGAGTTTAGACAGTGTTCAACATTTAAAATAATTTACTACAAGTTGGCCCAACTATCTTCTTCTATATCACCTCGGATTATATCTAAAGTCATGAAGTAAGTGAATTACTTTTTATTCTATTTCATTTTTGTTTTAAAGGAACTCAACTTAGGTCCAAAGAACGATTTCAGTGAAAAGTGAAAAGTTTGTGATCCTTTTTTTTACAATTTAAATAAATATTCTGGAAAAACGAAATAAGGGAATGATCTGAAATTTTGCACACAAGGTATTGGTCAAGACCTACATCAAATGGAACATTAAAAATTTCGAAAAAACATTGCCAGTCCCGTCATGTCAAAAATTAAGTGGAGTCCCTTTAATTGGCTATGCTATTTCTGGTGTATTCTTCTGGTATTTACGTGATATAAAAACTATGAACAAAATTACTGTAAAAATGATGAAAAACCTTGGAATTACCCAAATCTAGTTTTGTTCACCTAATTTTCGTGAAAAATTGTTGTTTTGTGGCATTTTATATTTTTAAATAATCAATTCAAACATTTTCTTCAAACAGGAAGTATGATTCTAAGGTGAGAATAGTTTGACAATATGCAAGTTGTAAATAACGGAACCGGGAACCAGTATCAAATGTAAGTTGACAAGTGTCAGTGTATTTCAAGTGCAAAGAAATCCGGTATTTGTAGAACAAACTTGAATTCTCTGTTTATGATAAACATTTTTCTTTTTTTTTTTTAAACCTTAAATTCGTGTATTGGCTGAATGTAGCAGAAAGTAGTCCGGCAAAACGCCAGCGAAAATACGGAAATATGTTTCACTGGAATGAAAAATATTTTTTACAATGAAAATACGGAAAATGAAAATACGCATTTTATTTCATCAACATTTCTCAATATTTCATTTTTAAGTCTATAATAGATTCAAATATTCCTAATTTGCTTTTTCTATTCCACTGAAACATTATTGTACGTAAATTTATGTTTGAATATTCCATGCATATTGTTTTTTTACTGACACACTTGCGTGATAAAAAGGTTGTGTGAGGTTGATGAAGGCACCCCTATAAAAAAATGTTGAGCGTTCTTTGCGTAAGTTATTCTTTGCGGTAATTTGGCGCAGTCTCCGCCATGTTTTAAGTAGAAAGAATAAAGGCAATGAATTAAGAACATATTCTTTTCTTTTTAGACTCCGTATCATATCTTCAATTTGACCCGGCTAACATTTGGGGGCTCGTCCGGGATTATAATGGCATGTTTTCGTGATGTGGTGCGGCTCAAGAGAAAAAATTTTGGCCTTGATCCTATAGAACTGACAACTTAAGTGCAAGAAAGCAATTCACAAATGAAGATGAGATGTTAAACTTTGCTGAAGAGATGGCAGAATCAATTTTAAAAGAAGAAGAAGAAGATCAAATGGCTTTTCTTTTTGCTGATTTTGAACGGATGCTATTAGAATGCAAATCAGATGACAAGTCACACAAAAATTTTCCTAAATCAACAGAGAAGTACCATATGAAAACAAATCCGACACCAGTCATATGGAGTTCAGTAAGGCAGCAAGTGTCACCTAGCTTATTGACATATGATAAATTGGGACAGCCATCTTACCAAAAAGTGGTTAATTCACTGTGTTGGTTGTCACCATTAGGAAATTTTTTCTAAGCAATTTGATAAGAATATACAGTCACTTAAAGACATTTATTGATTATAGAAATAAGGCATGATGCTCAGGAACAAAGGGTTCGTCATTAAAGAGAACAGGTTGGCAATGGGTCAAAACTTCTATAACCAAAAGGGTATGACTTGAACAGACTGGCCATCTTTTCATTTCATGGGGTTTTTGGCGTGGTCAAACTGTTAAGTGTAATGGCGTTGGGTTTCCTGGGGAAGCGCTTAAGATAAGAATCAATAAATAATGAAGTGTCTTGTATAAATACTTGTGATCTTAGAGGTTGAAAAGAATGTTAGTCAATAGTGTCTCATTTGAGATCTGGGGAAATATTTTAAAGCTTATGTTTGAAATAAGTAAATTTTTGTGGTATTTTTCTATTTTTTTGTTTACTTGGTTTCTAGTCTTCATTTTATGATAGTTATATATTTTGTAAATTGTTTGTGAATCATTTGGGGTTTTAAGTGGTTAGTGATAACGGTTCATTTGATAGCAAATGTCGGGACGACATTTGGTTTACGGGGGGAGTGTGTGAGGTTGATGAAGGCACCCCTATAAAAAAATGTTGAGCGTTCTTTGCGTAAGTTATTCTTTGCGGTAATTTGGCGCAGTCTCCGCCATGTTTTAAGTAGAAAGAATAAAGGCAATGAATTAAGAACATATTCTTTTCTTTTTAGACTCCGTATCATATCTTCAATTTGACCCGGCTAACAGTTTAATAAACAACGTCGTTAAAGCCATCCAAACTTCTTGACAATTTAGAGTAAAGTCTGAGCAGATTTACTCAACTTCCTCGTGCTTCTCTCGTGCTTTATTTCTTATATGATAAAATACAATAAATGGTTAGACATACAATGTAATTCCATTATCAGTATTTGATCCATCAAATTTAGCGCGAACCCACTAAAATTGTCCCATCATCCAGACATTTTTATCTATCATCATTTTTAGGATTTTAGAACGCAACCGAGTAATTTTAAACAATATTTAGAAGAGATCGTGTCATTAACATTAACGGAATAAAACTGTTAAGAAATAGAAAATACTAACTCTGGGACTTTTTGACATTTTGATTTTCACGTGAGTTACAATATTCATTTTGTTTTGAAACGAATTTTAAATTTCCCTTTTTATTTTACTTTTTATCTCGTGAATTGATTTAAATTCTAACAATATATAGTTGATTGTTGTTAAAATTTTGATGTGAGTTTAAGCTGGGACCGAAAACAACGTCAATAAATATATTTTTGGGTCCAGGTTTTAAGTGTTCTTTTTGTTTTGAAACAAATTTAAAATTTCCTTTCATTTAAGTTTTTATACAGTGAATTGACTTTATATTTCATTTTTGACAATTACACGCTAATTGTTGTTGTTGTGGCCGCTGCTGCTGATGATGTCATATGTTTACATTTCAATTTCTTTACAAATTTATGTTAAATATTGTCGTTTAATGGTCAGTTTTAAAATATATATCTTATCTTCGTCGGTATCTCTTTGATTATTGATTATATAATCATTACTGTTTATTGTCAATTAATCGAGAGATCAAGCTGTTAATTGGAAAATGGCAGATGATCAATATGGTGTCCTGAAACAGTGGGCGGTGATTTATGGGTCTTTTAAACATCCAATCAGCGTGCGATATGCTAATTTCCTCAAAACTAATGTTTAATTATTCATTTCAGAAGGAAAAGTTGTGCTGACCATTCAACTGTACCCGAATCAAAGGTGGGTCTAATTTTTATTTATATAGCAATTTTCTTTTTCTTTATAAATTCTAATTATAGCATTTATGGCTTAATTTATTATTGAATACACATAAAAATACCTATAATGTGATAAAATATCTGAATTTGATAGATTCTAACAGGAATTATTTGCCTTAGTTAAACTGTACAGGATTGTACATGTATTTGTTTTACTTTTCTGTAGAAATACATTTCTCTGTAATTTCTCAAAAAGCTTAACATTTTTGTTGAATAGAAATTATGGAAAATATAATAACTTGATTTATTTATTTAAATACAATTCATCATCTTTTTCTTCAGATACCAAAGATGTTGAGATTTACTCCCGGAAAGAATGCCGACGCCGACGAAATCGACGCTCTGATGACACCTCCGTTTAAGGGTGATAACTGGTTCCCGGTAGAGACGCCGACGACGACAGGAAGTGAAGATCAGGACATGTCCTTCACAGAGGTAAACATTTTATTATTGTTGCCAGGATTATATTTACATCTATTTATGTTTCTACTTTTACACAGAAATTAATAATTATACTAACACGTAGAACGAGATCTGAATGGCCGTTTATAGAAAGAAATAACAGAAATACAAAAGTACAAGTTAGAAAGATGGAAGCTTCTGTTTTCTCCAAATTAATATAATTTTAGTTCCAATATTAGCAAGTTATTCGAAGAATATTTACCAAGCGTTATTACTAAATTAGACATAATATGGGTTCCAGTTTGTCGCTTTTTTATGTGCTTCTGTTCGGCAAATCGACATATTATCAAAATACGATCGAGTATGAAATAGCGCGTATGTTATGAATAAGCCAAAAATATCAACGCCTGATTCGTTCATTTTCAATTTAAATATAACTATATTGTATATTAAAACAATGCTTTGAATTGGCAGGTTTGTCGCAAACCTTTTGGCCGTTTTTTGTCGTTCGACGTCAAGAGAAGCTTGTTTGCAGGCAAGCGTTCGGCAGTGGAAGCAGACGATTCTCCAACCGGAAAGAGATTGCGCGAGGCAGAAACTGGGATTAGCAGTGTTTCATTAGAGGTGAATATTTATTTGTTTGTTTTTCTTACTTAGTATTAGCACTTAGATAATCCAACAAAAACACAACAACAACATTTTTTTATATAAATGTAATTTTAGTTACATTTTTCTATAGGTTAAAAGGAAATAATTATTTCTAGCTCTTACTTTCTGGATATACATAATTTCAACTGAAATTATGCATATAAAATCGCATTGTTTTTTTTTTGTTTATTTTAGTTTTGTTTATCATTATTATTTTATTTTCTACAAGTATTTCCCCTATTTATCAATTTTATTCTGTAATATTTCAGGCACTTTGTCCGCGGTCAGAGAATGTCGACATTAAAGATGTGGTTCACCGACTTTCTACCGACGAAGACGTTATTGCCGACGGTTCACGTCCCTATATCCTGCCGACCATCGCCGGTAAACACAGTGACTTGAAGTCCATCTCTCCAGAAACGGTGAGTGAAAATGATAAAATTCAAGAAAAAAATAAATCATGGTTTAATGGAATTTTATTATAAGAGAATTTGAAGTAAAGTGGTAACTTAACCATGTGTTAAGAATAGGATTCGTTCGTTCGTTCGACCAAAAACGACAAAGAGCCTTTTCATGTACAGTAAAGGTAATCGAAGCTACCGTTCAAGCCGTGTAGCACCGGCTTAAGCAGACTTCAACATTTAAACATAACAAGAAAAATATTACATACATTCGTATGTAATATAGGTACGATTGCATACTACTTTTTGTGAAGACTTTATGTTTGCTGAATTAAAGGTGTAATGTAAAATGAACAAACATGTCATGAGATATTTTATATCTTTAAACATTTTCATGGAATGTAATTAATGTATCATCATATTAAAGTTGCATGCCTTCAGATGAGAAAAATGATTTCAAGGAAATCAAAATATGGAAAGAAAATTCACGGTCAATTGACTGCTTTGAAGCATAATCATAAATTTGAGTCACAGATTTGAGATATGATTATTTATTCATATTAACAACATTATTGGTTATATATTGATAAAAAACCGAAAGACACAGTTTGTAAATATTTATTACAATAAAATATGAAAAAGGTATTTTCCATCCTATGCGACGCGCCGATGTTAGCTATAATTAAAATTCCCGCGCAAAGTCGCGGTGGTGCTTGGGATAATCACTTGATACTGTAAATGGCAGCCATTTTACGATACGAAAATGCCAGGCCCTCCTCGGACAGTTTATCCTGCCGAAGAGATATGAAAAAATACTTGCAATTCAAAGTTTGTTAATTACATAAAGATTATCGATTTACTCTTTGCACACTTTTTCTCTGCCTGATTGTAATAATATTGATGTGTTTTTATTGGCTTAAACCATCACGTTACCAATACACATGTAGGTGTGAACTAATTTCGTGTTCATTAAAATTATTCCGTTAATAGACATATAACAATCTTATTTTCAAATGAATTGATAAAACAACAATCACAGAAGCATTTAAGATAATAACAATCATTGGAACAAAATAAATGCATATAAATTGTAAGTTTGTGTATGACAACTCACCCCCTAAACAAAACATAATAGACTCAACCAAAACAAGCGCCTGCTTCTTCACCTAACTATGTAGTTGCATGACCATGATTAGCAATATAGCAAACCAAATCTAAGAGATAAACCTATTGTAAAAATAATACTATGACCACAGCAGATTTCGTACAGAAAATGGTGAAATTTTGACTCTAGAGACTTCTGCAACAAGTAACTTGTCGTATGCTATAAAATCTGGAATGATTCACTCTCCTTTCATGCACGATAATTTTGTATTCTATACCTGAAGCCAGATTAGTTATGTGGTCTTAATGAATTTCTACTTTTTCAGATGAATGACGTACTTTCGGGTTGCTATGACGACAAGATAGATCACGTGACTGTCATCGACTGCAGATACCCGTATGAGTTTGATGGTGGTCACATCAAAGTAATTGTAATTTTTATAAAATTCAATTGATATTGTGTATTTTGCTAGCAGACGACAAACTAATCCATGAAAATATAAGCATACATTTGTCTGGTACATGTACATTTAGTACCAGAAAAATTGACGCACATACTAGAAACACAACTTCTCTTGAACAGTTTACTTGAAGACAAGTTTTTCATTGTAAACAGAATGACTTGGTCTTTGAAAAACGGAAAACGGTATAAGCGTCGCCAAAAACTAAAGACACAAACATAAAAACACTCAGACAGTGTATGCTTAGTTAAGTGTTTCTTATCCTAATATGACGTCAATTATATACATGTACATTGCTTGTAACTGTAAGCAGGCTACTGTAGTTGTTTTTATTAACATAAATGTATATGAATACGTGTGATTAGTGATTTTCCAAACTCTAAATAGTTTCAATATGCCGAATAACCTCACATTAATTTTAACTTCTTTATTTGTTTTCAGGGTGCCATCAACTTGTATACACGGGCTGCCATACAAGAGTTTCTCTTACGTCACAGTGGCTCTTTCACTTCCTCTAAGAAGCACGTGCTCGTCTTCCATTGTGAGTTCTCATCGGAAAGAGGCCCTAAAATGTAAGTGTTTTCTAACAAATTTATTATGATCAAAACACACGAAGATCAACATCACCAATGACAACTTTTTACTTACATTTTACCAAATAATGTTTGAGATATATACAACATTAAGCGACACTGTAACAAATAGTCATTGAAGATATTAGACACGTTTGATACATTTGCTGTGCTTTAAATTGCCATACAACAACTCCTCTTAACTTTTATAGTATGATCTTTGATCATAATGAAAAAAACTTTTGTTTACTCTAGATTAAAAAAAATATCTTAACGCTTTTGTATAATGTTAAAATGTATTTTTTTTTGTTGTTTTTAATATTTAGAAAACAAATATCATGTTTTTTCAGGTATCGTCATTTACGCAGCGAGGACCGCGCCATGAATAAAGACCACTACCCACGTCTCAACTTTCCGGAAGTTTACGTTCTTGAGGGAGGTTACAAGGCGTTCTTCTACAAGTTCATGGTAATTTCTTGCTTCTTACAATTATTTATGCACGAAATCGCAACAATGTAAACTATAATAGAGCATCATGCATTTTAACTTCTTGGTGGCTTAGTAGCTCCGGTTTGTCTCTTTATACTTGGATCGAGTGTGAGGCCCATTTCTGGGGTAACGATCACAATTTTCTCACATGACACCCGTTGTAATTAAGCTCAATTTTAAAATAATTAATTACACAAAAGTAATAGATCTATGTGAATTACATACATCTGTATCTTAGGATATCTTTTTTTATTTTGAACCATCCCTTACTGAATCATGTGTAAATAAACTCATACAAACATCTATAAAATATGTATATTTTTTATTATTTCTATTTACAGACACAGTGTTTGCCGCAGACGTACAAGCCTATGTTACACAAGGACCATGCTGCTGATCTACGTCACTTCCGGGGAAAATCGAAGTCGTGGACAGCCGGTGAGAGACCACAACTCATGCGTACTACACTTCGCTTTTAGTGCTACATAACCTGACTTCCACTCAGATATAGATCTGGAGCAAATCTGTGACAAACTGTGCAATATTTGTGTTTTGTGTTAAGATTACGTCAGAATAAGTTAGTGAATAGACTGTGCATGTGAATAAACAAGACTGTTGATGTATATTTTGTATTTATCCTTTTCCTCTTGTCTTTCCTATTTCATCTTCTCTATTCCTCTTTTCTCATTGCTTGTATAGAATAAAGAACATTAAGTATATTGTTATATCGGTTTTGTTTTTCTTTCCCTTCAAGTTTATTTTGATGCCAAAGTAAAATTGAATGATCCAATAATTTCTCTCCTTTCATCATGATATGTAGACATTGAAAAAACGAACTGATTTCATTGAACCCCATTGATATCCAATGAGGTCAGATCTCGGGATGTTTCTGCAAAAAAATCGTCTCGGCCTAACGGCCACGACATTTTTTGCAGAAACATCCCTTAATGTCGCCCCAGCCAGTGTTATATCCTCGTAACTAACTCGTTTGATATACTATAACTATTACCTATGTCATTGTGATAAATATAACAGAGACTATTCTATAGAAATAGTCATCATTATTTGGGACAACAACAAAACAATATCATACTTTAACTAATTTTATTTTATAGTCATACATAGTGGCATATGTAATTTATCTCACTGAGTAATGTCTTAGTTTATCTATCTTTGGGATTTTATGGGCACGACTCCATTAATAAAAGCCAAAAGGTTTGGATACCGGGCATACAAAACCCTGTAGGGCATCCATAGCAAAGCAAACAAATGACACAAAATCAAAACAGCAATGGAACAAACTGTATAGCTTTTTGGAAGCAGTATGTTTAGAAATAATTGATCAAAGCAATACTAGTCTTTTCAATTCTTCATTCACAAAATAGTCAATTTTCACAAATGTATATGAGCAACAACACAGCATTGACCTGTTGCGCGAATTGGGGTTCTGGGCAAGCAGAAACCAGTATCGCCAGTATCACAAAACTGTCTATTCGCCGGCCGCCACTAGACTTCGGATGGTGACGGAGATTTCCCGTTTTCCAGTCGAAGGCTCCGCCAATAACATATATATTGGCTTCGCCAATATCATACTATTATTGGCTCCGGCGAATTGAATACTTGAAAAAAAAAATAGTCGTGCCAAAGCCCATTCTATGATTTATAATACAACACTGCCATGTAGGTAATTCAACTTAGCAAATAAAGCAGCATTCCACACAAATATGCATATACTGCGCTCATAAATCAAATATGACACTATCTGAAACACAATAATTTGGGTAGTAACCACCAAGATCTCGAGTTCAGTGTCATTTCTCCTGACATGAATTTAGCAAAAGCATTCAATTTAAACTGCTTCAAATATGTGCTAGGCTAAATGTATATACATTTGACGGTGCATTTTTTTCGAGATATTAATTTAGCAATAACGTTTAACTGCTTAAATATGTGCTAGATACATGTATACAATAAGTGCATTCAATCAACTGAACTATAAATTATGCATCAACACATCAACTTTTCAAATATACATTTCCTGAACACTCTATGCCATAGGTGTTCGGCGCGCTGATCGGCACCCACCCCACAACCTCCCACCCCCCAAAACCATGTAAACTGCAGTATTTTTCATTTGAAACATG